AGCGTTAAAGTAGAATTTGTGAGACAAGGGCCCAACATTCCCTAACCAAAATATTTGATTTTTCCTTCAATTTATGTTATTACCTGGTTCGTCCAGAAGATGGCGGCGTTGCTCCATTTTTGATGGATGGATCTGCTGTTTGCAGCTCAGCTTCCATGAATGTTTCCTTTAAAAAAAAACATTTTATAAAATTACAAGAAGGTACAACAGTATTTTAAATTGTTTTATGCACAGCCCTTTTGAGATCACTTGGGAATGTTGTTTGAAGCCAATTTCTGCTCAAATTTCTCCTATCATTTTGTTGTGATACAGGGTTTGACCTTGTTTTTTTTATTTTGTGGCGGCTTATATAACATACTTTGTTCATATTTGTGTGATTTTTTTGTATAATTTTTAATGTGAGGCCATGAATGTTAAAACCATCACCTGGCCACACCCCCAATAGAGGATGGGCACACAATGCACTGTAAGCCAATTAGGGTCCTGTTTTTATTTAAAACACAAAATTTGAACTTTTTCTGTATAAATACTGGAGCCTAAGCCCATTTACCGTTAGAGCGCTTCCTGACAGCATTTTTACCTGAAGAAGGTTCAATGACAACCGAAACGTTGTATTTTACATGCTGTACTTTGTAAATATTGTAAATAGTTTTCATTAAAAGGCCACACGGCCAAAGAAATAAGCCACAGCTTCATTTTTTTCCCCTTTTTCTAGTTTTGAACAGCAGTCAACTGACATTTTTACGCTCAGTATTTTTTAATATATTTATAAAAATGTTGGCTGGACACGAAGATCAAGCCTGGACCACGGTCGCTTACCATGGTGGGAGACGCCGCTTCCGCCAGCCCGACCAGCCGGACAGGAGCTCCCGGAGGTCCGGATGGGAGAACAGGAGCCCTCCGGCCTCTTGGCGTGGATGCAGGAGCTACGCCTCGGTGACCCGTGGACACCCTTCTGAGCGCTGGACGAGCCGAGAGGACGGGGGTCGTGGTGAGGGCTGGAGCCGCCCTACCCGCCGAGGGACCGAAGCGACCACCGTTGGAACTACAGGGAGAACAGAAACACGGCTAGACCCAGGGCACCTCAACGCCAGCGCTATGGGAACTCTGAACCACACCACCGGTCTGATGATCAGCATTTCACCACGAAGGTCAGAGCTTTACACAGACTCTTGAAAGCTAAACATCACCTTCACAACGTATCGGACAAGAGCCGTGACCCTCCTGCTATCCAACGGATTACAAGTCATCTGGAAACAGTGATTAAACCAGCACTACCCAGCATAAAAATGACTGACCTGATTTCAGCTAACGCTAAGAACTGGGCCCACAGCACGATGTGCATCTTAAGAGACCACTACGAGGATGAGATGTTGTCAGAATGGGAGTTCCTCTTCGACCTCGGCGGTGATCTCTGGGCTCCATTAGAAATAGCCACAAAGTGGGCCAGACGCAATCTGGGTAGAAGATTCTCATCACAAACTGCTGAAGCTGTTCGACAGTATTTGTTGACAAACGCGGTGATGATGCGGTCACCCAGCGCCGAAACGGAGGCGCACAACAATGACGCACCACCCACCCAAAGAACAAATTCAACACAAAGTCAAGATGACTCACCGTCTACATCTCTCTCTTCGGGGGAGACTGGACGGGCCTCTGTTTCTACGTCCCGTTCAGCCCATCAGGACCCGTAGCAGCAGACCGGCGACACCGAGGATGACGTCGATGACCGGCCCCGGCCCAGCGCGTCGCTCCCCCCAACTGCGGATCCTTCCTCGCCCCGGAGTCGACCCACCCCGAGTTCAGCGTCGACCATGACTGATCCCTTCAGGTCTTCGTGGTCCTCTTCAGGGTCGGAGTCTGGTGAGGGAGGTGGTAGCACACAGCCTCCTTGCGACCCACTTCCTCAACGAGTGAGAGGCTCCGCCCACACGTTGACTGGCACCAACGCTGTGAAATGATCCTATTCAGCAGGAATTGAACATACCCCTTCTTCCTGCTCCACCCCCTCCAGCACTACAATTACCTGTTCCTGAGTACCCACCCAACACCCCAAGATCCAGGAGAATTCTTCTCCAACACAGACTGAAAGGCTCAGGAAAGGTGATTTGTCACATGAAAATGTTTACAATTTAGCAAAGAACTTTACTCTGAATTCAGCACAAAGTTCTTTGTTAAACAAAGGTCTTACTTTCATCCCCACTCAGGTTAATACAGATCACAAAAAAATGATGTTTCAAACCAGGTTTGACCTCCAGAAATATCACAGGAGGATCAAATTAGCAATCTATTACAAGGAGAATGCCACTTTGGCTCCCAGCAATATTATTTCTAAAAAATTTATGCCTGAATCGGATTGGACACCTCAAAATAACTCACAAAGTTCTTTTTAAGCTTTGCTTTTACAGGAAGAATCATTGAGAGTGTGGGTCGCTTGTCTTCAGACATGCTGGTAGTCACAAGTTTGACTGGCACCATCAGTTTGACAATGTCTTCAATGTCACAGAAGTCTTTGTCCTTGAGAGTATTCACCTCTTCTCCTTTTCTGAGGTCCCTGGACATGAGTGCTGCAGAAATCGCAGGATGTTGCTCAAAAAAGCATTCAAGCATGTCATGGGAGCTATTCCACCGCGTGGATACATCTTGGATGAGTTTGTGGGAAGGCAAAGCTAGTTGTTTCTGTTTCTCTTGAAGGATTTCTGCTGCCCTCACACTATGATGAAAAAAGGCAACGGCTTTCCTCACTCTCCCCAGCAACCTTGCTACTGTGTCAACTTTAAAGGCTTTCTGTGTGGCGAGATTAATAGTGTGTGCAAAGCACATGAGGTGAGGGGTCATCTCTGCTTCCACTCCAGCTAATACCATGTTTGTGGCATTGTCTGTCACCAGGGCTGGATCTTTATCAAGAAGGTTCCAGTCAACACATGCCTGTTTTAGCAGAGCACCAATGTTTTTCCCAGTGTGGGATCCTTTGAATGCCCTGGTTTGTAACACATGCACATTTAACTTCCAGTCTGGAGAGATGTAGTGGACAGTGATGGTCACATAAGACTCAGTGGAGCATGACGTCCAGGCATCGGTTGTAACAGCAACTCGCTCTGCATGTGCCAATTCTTTTTCAACTTGGCTCTTCACTTGGGCATACAACGCTGGCATGCATGTGTTTGTGATATGCTGCCGGGATGGAATCTTATATCTGGGCTCTAACGTATGAATCAAATCCTGAAATCCTTCCCCCTCCACTATATTGTACGGCCATAAGCCCTTAGCTATGAAACGGGTTATTGATGCCGTTATATCCTTAGCTCATGATGAACTGTCGCCGAGTTGCCCGTAAAATTTAGTGATAACGTTACCCGTCGCTCTCTGTGTGGCAGCTGCCTGCTCCTGCTCGTTGTTATGGGGCTTGAGAAGTTCGCCATACTCCTCTCTGTGTTTTCTCGTTGCATGTTGATCAAGGTTTGTTGTGCTACCAGTGTACTTCAGAGGTGCTCTGCATAGCTTACAAATAGCGCGGTTTTTGTCGAGTTTTCCGTCCTTCTTGTAAAACCCGAAAACGTTCCACACTTTAGACTTTTGTCTGGCTGCTGTATGGAAAATCTTTCTCGGTGACCCGCTAACGCTGCTACTATTTATTTACATCCATTCTCGTTGTCTTGGTGAGCTACGGAGCATGCGTGAGAATAGCTTCGCGGGCAATTCCGACTCTTGCGTTGTTTTATAAACGCACTGTCAACCGAGCTAGTCTCGCGATACCAGGTTCATGTCTCTTCAACCGGTTCATCTCAGCATTTGTGGCTGGTTGCTGTCGATTTATACGGCTGCTACCGACACAACCATATCGCTAGCTTGTCAAACCGGATATCTGGTCGTATCGGTTTATCTATAACAACCCTATTGTTTTGTGGACAGAGTGAGATGGAGGAAGATGACTTACTGTGGGAACCCCCAAAGAGCGAAAAGCCCAAAGAAGAATCAGTTTGCTTCGAGACATGTGTTCATATGTCACTATTTTTTGCCGTCTGTTTTTTGTTCAGGTAATATATATAGTAAATATGTTGTCATGAAGACCTTCTGAGTGATTGTTCCTGAACAGCCCAGACAAACTGACCTCCAAATGCCAAGAATTCATTTGCTTCAAAGTCTGCTTACTAAGCAAAGAGATCCACATCAAGACTAATTTTAGCCAAAGTCACAGATCCAGTTAGACTTAGGTCTAACTTTCTGCTTGTCAGCAGTAGACCGATAATGTGTCCTGCAGTTGAACAGATCATGTCTCCTGTGGTTATTTTTGTTATATTCTGATGAAAAGATGCAGTAACATCCTATTTGAGCACAAGTCCAATAGAGCAGGCAAAATGATTTGAATTGATTAGAAAGGATTTATACAACAAAAATTAATCTGTGAAATAAGGTCTGATATTTATTAGTAGAAAATATCAGTTTTTCATAATGTACTAAACTACACATGTGCTTACTCAGTTACAAACATGGAGCAACATGTAAATATTAAAAATGGTCAAAATAAATATGGGTGCTCTAAAACATTTAAATGTCATTTAATGAAGGCACACAGTATCCAAGCTTGATCTTCTTTATGCTCCTTTTCTCCAAACCTCCTCTCCAGAGATGTAGGTGGCTCTGACGTTCAGGTCATCATCGAGCAGAACAAAATCTGTGAACAAACATGTTCAGGAGGTGTTATGCAACTTATGAATGTACAACAATGGAGCCCTACTGAGACTGCTTCTCTCCTATAAACATGTACATTTCAAACAAGTCAAACTAGTTTTCAAAAATCTGGGAACACTTCAGGATGACTGCAGAACACTGATACTGAATGAAATAGAAGTGGGTAAACAGCAACCAAAGTCTAAAAAAATTTTTTGAAAGAGGAAAACGTATTCAAAGCCATTTCAAAGAGAATAAAATCAAAATGGTTTGTTATCTGGATGTCCAAATACTTCTTTAAAAAATCTTCAGTTAATCCAAAATGCTGCTGCCAGAGTCTTAACTGGAGTTAGTAGGAGAGATCATATCTCTCCAGTTTTAGCTTCTCTCCATTGGCTCCCTGTCAAATCCAGAATTTAATACAAAATCTTACTTCTTTCACTATAATGTAACTAAGGTAATGGATGGATCACTCTGGGAACAGCCTATTCGTTCAGCAATTTCTTTCTGTGTCTTACTCTCTTGCATGAGGGTGTCAATGATGGCCTTCTGGACAGCAGTTAGGTCGGCAGTCTTACCCATGATTGCGGTTTTGAGTAATGAACAAGGCTGGGAGTTTTTAAAAGCCTTAGGAATCTTTTGCAGGTGTTTAGAGTTATGTCATTGATTTAGATGGTTAGGTTAATAGCTTGTTTAGGGAACCTTTTCATGATATGCTAATTTTTTGGGACAGGCATTTTGGGTTTTCATGAGCTGTATGCCATAACCATCAGTATTAAAACTGTAGTGAACTAGGCCTCCGACCTCAACCTGTCTCTGAAGACCTTCAGGGGACAGGAACTGTTATTTCACTGATCTGAATCCAGAAATACAAATTATCTTATAAAGAGACTATTTAATTGTATCCTGAATTAATCAATTGAAAGAACACTCTTCCTTTTTACATTATCATTGCTATTTTAGAATATCTTGATAATCACTAAATGTTTAGTTCATCCCATTTCTAAATGTTGAAGTGAACCACTCATTTAAATCAACTGAGAAACACAAAGTTTGTTTTCTCAGTCATCCAGGTATATAACAACAAAAAAGGTTGAATCATGTCATCTGGACTTCGTTTTTTTTGTTAAAAAGAAACGTTTCGCCCCTCATCCAAGAGGCTTTGTCAGTCTGAGGCCTAGCCATCTGGTATTACCCAGAAGCCACCCTGACTCTTGTGTTTCAAGCCTGCCTCAGATACCCCTGAAGTCTGGCCTTTTCACTAATGGTTTCAAAAACACAAAGTTTGTTTTCTCAGTTGTTGTTATATACCTGGATGACTGAGAAAACAAACTTTGTGATTATGGAAAATAATTACCTTTATCACAATATGCTAATTTTTTGAGAAGGACCTGTATTTACCAATCAATCTAACATACGTTTTGGGTCTGTGGGAGGAAACCGGAGTGCCCGGAGAAAATCCACGCATGCACGGAGAGAACATGCAAACTTCACCCAGAAAGGTCCCTGGACCGGGATTTGAACTGGGGACCTGCTTGCTGAGAGATAGCAGCTCTACCAGTTGCGCCACTGTGCTGCCCCAAACTGACCTCATTTCTTTTTTTTTCATTTGCCATTGTGTATCTGTTCCTACGAAACCCAGCCGGTCAAAGCAAATGGCTGCTTGTCCTGAGGCTGGTTCTGCTAAAGGTTTCTTCCTCATGAGGGAGTTTTTCCTTTCACTGTTGCCTTCAGGCTTGCTCAAGATGAGAGTTCTGCGATGGAGTTAAACTCAAAGCAGTTTGCTCCTCAGATAAATAATGTTAAATTATTATTTTTAAATATAAATGTTTCTGTTAACTAATTTTATATATGCATATTTCTGTTCAGTGCCGTGAGATGACTTCTGTTGTGACTTGGAGCTAAATAAATAAACTGAATTGAACTTCGAGCTGGGCAATATTGATATTTTAAAAATATATTATTTTTTTGCGATATAAGTTGAGACTATCTTGATATGAAACAATATAGTTTTACACTTGGAAATCCTCCTGTCATCTTCTTTCTCCTACTTGCCCCCCCTCCTCCCTCCTTGAACACAAACACAAAGCCCTCAGACGCACTCCCCCTCCCCTTCCTGCTTCTCCAGGAGGTTGGCGGGCAGGAGGAGACGTTTAGCAGCAGTAAACATGAGCAGCTGAATGTGTGTGAAGCTACAAGCTTTGAAAGACTCCTTCCTTGAAGCAAACCGTGGTTCAGAGCTCTTTAATCATGTTGTGCCTTTTAGAGGAACAGAGGACCATACCATACCATTTTATTTATAGAACACTTAAAACAGCGACAAGGCCAACCAAAGTGCTGTACAGACAGAACAGGTAACACACAAAGCAAAATACAAAATGAAGTAAATCAGAAATATAGACATAAAATGATGCAGATAATGACGACAAACCAGTGTGGAGAGTACAGATTCAAAACACAGATCCTCTGGTGTTGAATGCTACTGAATAGTATTGAGTTTTTAAACGGGACTTGAAAACCAAGAGGGAGGAGGCCTGTCTGACAAGCAGTGGTAACTCATTCCAGAGTCTTGGTCCTGCTACAGAGAAGGCCCTGTCCCCTCTGCGCTTAAGACGAGTTCCTGGAACTGTGAAGAGCAACTGGTCCGCTGACCTCAGGGAACGTGGTGGGACATACGGTTGTAGCAGATCAGAGAAATAAGGGGGGCAAAACTGTTCAGTGATTTGTAGACATACATGAGTATTTTGAACTGGATTCGAAAGTGAACCGATAACCAGTGCAGTGAGGCCAAAACTGGTGTAATGTGCTCTCTTTTGCCTGTACTGGTTAAAAATTGGGCTGCTGCATTCTGGACAAGTTGTAGTCATGCAATGGAGGTCTGACTAATACCAAACAGGAGTGAATTGCAGTAATCAAGCCTAGATGTAATGAATGCATGTATTACTGTCTCTAGGTTATTTTTGGACAATATGGGCTTCAGTTTAGACAGCCGCCTCAGTTGGAAGAAACATGATTTAACAAGGGTCCATTATCCCCCCCAGATTAGTGACTGTTTTTCTGACAGGGTTAGAGCGGAGAGGTCGATGCAGTGGTTTGTGATCATGTCATTGGGAGGGAACAACATGACTTCAGACTTCTTTTCATTGAAACTTAAGAAGTTTAAAGCCATCCAGTCCCTGATGACAGCCAGGCAGTCTGTTGAAATTTTCTGGGTTGTTAATATAAAAGTTTGATACATTTACTCAATTTACAGTTTATAATGATAATTAAAGCGTTTGCCTGCAGATTTAGCTCTGAGTCTCAGAAAGGATCAGTACTTTGTGGAAATGAAAAAAATTGATACCAGTTTATTTTGTTCATTAAGTTTATCATCACACTTAAATAGGAATGCTCTCCCAATCATGTCTAATACAGGTCTCTAACTGTTCAATCGTCTTGGGCCTTCTTTGTCACACCTTCCTCTTTATGATGCGCCAAATGTTCTCTATAGGTGAAAGATGTGGACTGCAGGCTGGCCATTTCAGTACCCTGATCCTTCTCCTACGTAGCCATGATGTTGTGATTGATGCAGAATGTGGTCTGGCATTATCGTGTTGAAAAATGCAGGGTCTTCCCTGAAAGAGAGGACGTCTAGATGGGAGCATATGTTGTTCTAGAACCTGAACATAGTTCTCTGCATTAATGGTGCCTTTCCAGACATGCAAGCTGCCCATGCCACAAACGCTCATGCAACCCCATACCATCAGTGATGCAGGCTTCTGAACGGAGCGTTGATAACAACTTGGGCTATCCTTGTCCTCTCTGGTCCAGATGACATGGCGTCCCAGTGTTCCATAAAGAACTTCAAATCATGACTCATCTGACCACAGAACAGTCTTCCAGTTTGCCACACTCCATTTTAAAAGAACCCTGGCCCAATGCAAATGTCTGAGCTTGTGGAGCTTGCTTAGAAATGGCTTCCTCTTTGCACTGTAGAGTTTCAGCTGGCAACGTCGGATGGCACGGTGGAATGTGTTCACTGACAATGCTTTCTGGAAGTATTCCTGAGCCCATTCTGTTATTTCCTTGACAGTGGCATTCCTGTTTGAGGTGCAGTGACGTTTAAGGGCCCGGAGATCACGAGCATCCAGTAGAGTTTTACGTCCTTGACCCTTACGCACAGCGATTGTTCCAGATTATCTGAATCTGTTGATGATGTTATGCACGGTTGATGATGATAACTTAAAAGTCTTTGCTATTTTACGCTGGGTAACACCATTCTGGTATTGCTGCACTACCTTTCTGAGCAACAACGGTGGAATTCGTGATCCTCTTACCATCTTGGCTTCTGAGAGACACTGACATTCTGAGAAGCTCTTTTTATACCCAATCATGTTGTCAATTGACCTAATTAGTGTTAACTGGTCTTCCAGGTGTTTGTTATATGGTCGAATTTCTTTTTTCCAGGTACTTATTGCTACTTGTCCCAACTTTTTTGGGATTTGTTGACACTGCGAAATTTTGAATCAAGATATTTTTCCTTTAAAATGTTACATTTACTTAGTATAAACTTTTGACATCTATGTCATATTACGAATAAAATATTGACATTTGCCATTTCCACATCATTGCATTCAGTTTTTATTCACAATTTGTTTAGTGTCGCAATTTTTTTGGAATCCGGATTGTACATACATAAATACATACACATACATACATACACATACATACATACATACATACATATATACACATACACACATATATACACATACATACATATATACACATACATTCATACATGCAAACACATACATACATATATACACGTACATACAAACACATACATACATA